CTGTTATTAACATATGAGAAAAATATATTTTTTTTTATTTTTCAAGATAAATATTGTTTATAAATATTAGTTTTGAAAAACAAAATTTGCTCAATATTTTTTCGTTCTATAAAATATTAAAAATCAAACCGACAGTCATGTTGTTTTTCGTTTTTTTGGAAAATTTTGATTTTGACAAATACGAATATATCGAAAAACTTTCGACGGTAATGACAGCAAACGACTTTATTACTCTCATTGAGATTGAGAGAACTTGTCTGATTCATTCAAAAATCGGTGGCGACATGTGAGCGTATCGTCTAAAAATATTGTCGGTGGGCCGAGGTGCGCCTAGCAACAGAGATTGCATAGAAGCATAACTACAGTGAACGCGCGTGTTTCTACGTCGTGCCGCAACGAGGACACGGGAGACACAAAAAAAAAAAAAAGGAGTCGGAGATAGACGTTGTGGTTCTTGAGCGTAGTATCCTCGTCAACGCTTTTGACAATTAACCGCCTTGCGCACGTTGTCTCTTAGCTCTCATTTAAAGTCTGACGTGGATGACATTGAAGTACAGAATTTAATTTTTTCCCGAGAACTTTTATTTCAGTTTATTATATTTTTTTTCCTAACTCTTTCATATTATTATATAATTTTCGAATTTTATGAATGTAATCGCATTATCTGTGCAACTTACAGGATTAGTTTGATTTTCTGTAAGGCAACTAATTGTAATGCGTCAGATATACATTCAAACATAATTATTGCGTATAATTATTGACATGAAAAAAAAAAAAAAATATTCTATTGCTGTGAGATATCTCGATCTGATGATGCAATGTACATTGTGAAGAAAATTTGTACGATAATTTAGCGATTGATATGCAAATGGCTCATCCAATTAGAGTCGCGCACGGCGCAACCGCGAATATTTTGTATGTAACGTGCCAGAAACTTTTCGCATCAACGTCCTCCAGTCAGTTCGCGTTAATTTACTTGCAAATTTTCGGCGGCGCGGTGTGCAGTTTTAGCTTGCACTTTACGACGCTTACGTATAACGCGCCGGTCTTGGACGTCGATAAACTGCGTCCTCGCAAACGAAACGTTCAAACTCGCTAATTGTACCCGCAACGTAGCCGCAATATATCATCATAATTGATGTAAGTAAGCGGTCTGGATTGTCCAGCCAATAATGGTGGTGTTAAAACTCTGAATTCTACAAAAATATTGACACTCTGTGTATGTATATTCAAAACATTTTCAATCTTTTGCGCGAAATATATTTTTTTTCGTAAATATGCTTTTAGTCAAATATTGTACAAAAATAATAAAATTCAAATTCTCAAAATTTTGGACACGTACATTGTATCTAGTAATTCTGAATACAGCAGATTACCAAAAATACAAAAAGTTTAGAATACGCTTATAGTTGTGCCGTCTTTAGGTACACAGCGGAAACATAAATATATGCTTAACGGATTCGCTTGTCAAACGTCACTATATATATATAGCATTATATTTTTGCGGAGGACAAATGGTGTTTTGCGTTTTAACGTACGATACGGAATTTTTCACGCTTGATATGACACGATACACGTTTTGTCTATTGGCGTCGTTTAGCCAGTTAACTCCACACGCGTCTTGTCAGACGAATTCGACCGTTACAACCGCAAAATTGGCCTTTGGGCAGCGACTACTAAAAAGGGACGCGAAGGTGAAACAAAATCACTTACCAGCAGATCTTCGCGAGCACCTGTCCTCCCGGAGTGTCGGAGAAACAAGCTTCTTTATACACGTTGAGTCGCGCAATTGCACCTGCGGTGATTTTCCTTAATTGACGGACTCTGTAAACTTTTTGTACCATTTACGACGTACACTTTATCGTATACCAAAACAAGAAAAAGGCACGTTATTAATTCTTTAGACTTTTCTGCCGCTAAGGTCAACCTCTTTTCTGTAGTTATACAGCTGTACATATATTACGATAAGGGAAATGAGAAATAAAAAAAAATAAAATAAAAAACAGGTGTTCCGGACAAGGAAGCGATAAATGAGGAGAGAAAATGATAAAACGGCTTTTTATAGATAGATCTTTTTTTTTTAATAAACAATTGGGACACAATTCACTTATGTTAGTTAGTTAGTTTTTAGACTCTCTTATAGTAGTTACAGTTTATATATAATTATACATGATATATATAATATATATTTTGTCGTTACACAATATATAAATTTTATATCGCGGAGTATATCGACTTTGAATGAGGCATGATTCACCGGGTGTTCTTTCTCTCTGATTTCTCTTTGTCTTCGCACTTCATCTACTCTGCGCAGCACACATATTCACGCGTACATACATACACACACTCATACATACACGCGCACACATCTACCTATAGATCGTCGATTTTTATCCGTGATTTGTTGTTGTTGTTGTTTTTTTTTTTTATAACTCTTATATTCTGCGACGCGACAATTCTGAATTGTCCGCTTCACACAATTTGCTCGTCACATGTACATATAATATACTCTAATTATCGTAAATAAGAAGTACACACTAAGTTATGTTTACTGAGATCATACTAATACATCACAGGGTTACATAGATATACAAATTTATTTCTTTTTTGTATTTTTCATTTTTTAAGTTTTTGTTTTCTCACGGCGGGCACCAAGCGTCTCGACCTTCTCAGATCTTGCGAGATTCCAAGATTGCTGGAGCGTCTTTTAATCCGGCATTGCTGTTTCACGGAGTGTAAAAATTCTTTTCAATCAAACTGTTTAATTTTTTTGTATAATATTTAAAACGACTAACGTCGTTTCGAATTCGAATTTTAAATATGTGCGAATATTATTTTCGCTGAAGCAAAATCCACTTCACGTTGCTGGATTAAAATCACTTGCTCGTTTTGACCAATGTTGCATTAACGTCGAAACCACGAGGTGCTAAACTGTAACCGCGAATACAAATCATTTATTATCGTTCAACTGACTGTTACATAGATTTTTGTGTAATTTAGTACCTGCTTGATATTCCACGCGAAAACAAAATCGAGACCGCGATTGATGCGGTTTTTTCTTCGAACTTGATTTGATTTTTTAGATTAGCTTTACGTATTCGCAGAATTATCGTGCATGTTGATTTTGGAAAAAAAAAAAAAACAAATAGCTTTGTAACACCACCAGTCGTATTTTCGAGTTATAATCTCAACAAGGGAATGGCGAGTGGGAAAATATCAGAAGGAGCAATATTATGGTAGGATATTTTACGAGGACAAGTTACTGAGATAAACAGAAAGTCATCTATGATAAACAGCTACCATTATAGAACTTGATAATAACGTAAAATTAGGTAGTATGCTAATATTACACTTCATAAACTCGTTGACGAACGAAGTAAACGCGAACGAAATCTGTTCTTGCGTTGTGTGAAAAACGTTTAGTTCGCTCGATCTCGGAAGTTTTCAACGGAAATCTTTTCCCTTCGTAACTATAAAAATTGTGAAATTATGTTGACAATTTGCAAAGCTATTAACTTCTCGTTAGATAGCTATTCAAAGTTCCGGTCGTATCTAGTTTACCTTCTTTATTTTTTTTTTTTGTTTTTTTTTTAATTTATATACTATCATAAAAGAAAGACACACTTGTTTCTTTGAGGTAGTATATATACTGTCATATTATGATGTGACTAACAAAAGGTTATATACCCCATAAAGATTATATAACTCGAGATTCTTATTAAAGATAATGTATCAAAATTTATTCTTGTGTGTGCGGTATATTAGAGACAAATTTAAATGTCTGAACCTTGTATTTCTACTTTTACGTTTAATCTAAACGTAGATGCAATCAATGTTATAAAACTTACGTAAATGTGTTGTCGTCTTGAAATCAATTAAAACGGAAAAGATCGTAGGATAATTCAATAGTTTTATTTTAATATTAAATTTTTTCAAAAAAATATTGCAAAACACGAAAAATAATTCACTTACAACTATCAATTATTTTGTCTTTTATTGCTCGCCTAGCGTGCTCCTTTTTGATAGTTACGATTCCGAAAATAAGTCAACACTAATATTCTTTCTTTTTTAAAGAAAATCCGAGATTTTATTAATTTCACATAAAAAGAACGTCTTTTCCCGTGAAGGTTTTAAACAATCACGTATTTCTCGCATCATTATCTGCCGGAAATGCGATATAGGATGAAGGGGAAGGAAGAAAGGAGAGGATGGATTTTTTTTCTTTTTTTTCTTTTTCTTTTTTTTTTTTTTTTTATAGGTACAGAAGAAAAATTCGCGTGGTGATTTGGCATCGGCTGTACTTTCTTAAAATCGTACAGGAGATCAATGCTTAAACTTGGGTAACAAACTACAGCTAAATCGTGTTTTCTCCTTCCTTAAAGCTGATCGCATCTGGCCACGGAATCGCAACCGCCCTTTTTTTCTTCTCCTATTTTTTCTAAATCACGTCCAATTCGTTTTACAGGATTCGCATAAATTTCGTTTAAGACAAGATTTTGTACAATTCGAAAGTTAAATAATAGTCGTGATATCACGCGCGTTTCGAGGATACGAAACGTCAAAACTCGCGCGATATCTCTTTGTTTTCGATAAGATTTTCTAAAATCTCCAACGATTGCTCAGCAAAGAAAATTCGTCGTTGAGCATCCGGGGAAATTAGAACGCGGCAGCCGCGAGTCCCTAAAATTCCATGGACCAGCTCAGGCATTCCGTTTGATTAGATCCAATGAATAACGCACGCATGCTCTCCGTATCTTAGAATCTGACTGATCTGTATCTCTATCTAGAATCTAACCGACTAATTCTTATGAATAGCCTAAACTTGCGTATATTTCGCTCCTCTCTCTTTCTCACAAAATGTTTATGTAACGACATCGATTAAACAATTTTCTATGAACGTTTCAGAAATAAACGAAAAATATATTACATTAATTTTAATTTGGACACAAAAATCAAATATATATATATATATATTATCTACAATCTAATTTTTTTTTTATATTCTTCTTATGGTTTATCACTTATATTCTAGCCTTAATACAAAATTGATGTGACATATCATAAAAAAATAGCGACGAGAGAGTCACACTCTCTTTTCTCTCTTCTTCCACCAAAGCATTCGTTTTTTCTCCTTTTATCTTTTTAATCTTTCCTTTCTTCCTTGTTGTTATTACGAAGCGATATTGCAAACAAAAGTATACATGATAGAAAACAGCGCTACTTTATTTCTCTTTTTTTTTTTACCTTTCTTTTCTTTTCTTTTTTAATTTATCCATCTCGGTATGTTTCGCGCGCGCTCATGGTGGATAAAAAAAACTATGTGAATGGCACAGCCAACGCGGACCTCGCGCCTCCTCGCGGAGTCTTTCTATCTCTGCCTTCCTCTCTACCCCGTTGGTTCGGCGATGCAGTTTTCCATTTCCGGCACTGTCTCGCGTCGTGCACGAACGAGGTGGAAGAAGACGGCGGAGGCTTTGAACAAGGAAGCTGAAAGCTCTTAGCTGCGTATCTGACCCGCGTTGCGGGTGATCTTCTCCGGTGGTTCTATCATGCTCTTTGTGGTGCCGTTCAGGCTGCGCTTACGGCTTTTCATAAAGTCTGCAACAAACAAATAAAAAAAAAACATTTTTATTTAAATCAATGTGACACACTTGTCGGAGAGGTAGGACGTTAATCGGTTGCGAAATACACAAAATAGAAACTGCGTTTGTGTGTTAATCTCGGTGAAGCAAGTGAATTATTTAAGTCGCGTTTAACTCTTAAAACAAAAAACAACTTTGTGTGTGTGTGTGTGTAGTTTAAAGAGATATGCATTGCATCTGGAATGAGTTTATCTATCCCAAAAGACATCTGGTAAATAACGTGAGCAAGTCTTATCATCAATTCTGATTTCTCTTAATCGCATGCAGTGCCACACACACTTGACCTCATGCACAATCAGGCCTACTAACGACCGTATATGCATGCGAAATCTTTCTTCCGATAACCTTGGGAATATAATATCGGCGCATCGTACTCGGCGCGCTAATTATATCGACGGAAGATAACGGTATAAGGTCAGGATTTTATATTGCTTATTTGAGCGATTGTCGATTTATGCAAACGAATAAACATTGTTCTCATCGCAAAGCAAATTCGTATTAAAAAAAAAAAAAAAAAAATTGTCCAAGAAACAAAACCGATCAACTGTATGACAAGTGCCTGAACTTCTTTTTACGTCAAAATATACGTCGCGTTATTATGAGTCACGCGATGAAATTGGGATGAAAAATAACAAAAGCGCAAAATATTTTGCTGTCGCGTGTCGAGAGAAGCAAACTCGTTGAGAACGTGACTCATAAATCGACACGCTGGCGCAATGCCGAACCCCGAAAGTACAAAGGCACCCCCGAAACCCCTTCGGGAATACCATTTGGTGACGTTTCCACGGTGAAATTAGGTGCATCTGTTCAATTTTCTCTATTCAATCCCCCACGTTGACGCGAAGTCGTCTGTCAAGCCACGTGACAAAAATTACAAAAATCGCACGAACATCTACCTACGTTTCACCCCTTTTTCTGAAACCATTTTGTCTTATCTCAAAATTAATCATCACTTACCGCGTCTGCAACGTTTTCAATCTATATCGCGCGTTATCTTAATGTAACGTTTATTTTATATTTAAGTTATCACAAACGGTATAAAAGCAACTTGTCGGAAATCTAAAACTCGTATCAAATTTTTAATCAACAAAAACTTGAAACATATTCTCTATTGCGAATTTGTGCGAGATTCAATAATCGCGAAATGAGACAACGATATTGTGTGGAACACGACGAAGGGTTTTACAAAATTATTACTCTGCGCGATATTTCACCCCTAATTTAAATGGCCTGGACGAGATATGCGGGCGCTAATCCCTGATTTTAAATGCCGAGCCCCCCCTCGCAACGATCGTCTGCCGCCCTTTGCGGGACAGGGGCGCGCGATTGCGTGCACAGCTGATGCTCCCCACGCGTGCAAACACTCGACGTACACGCGTCACGCGGGACACAAAGGATCCCGAAAGCGAAGGGAGGAGGAGAGGAAGAGAGACTGAGAGGGAGGGGGTCATGAGAGAGGAAAGGCATATGGGGGTGCACTCGGGGGCCAGCAACCCCATATGGATTTCAACAGCTGACCGCGCGGCTCATTAATAAAGTACGTTAGGGAATATAGGCGCCCCCATGACTGTATATCCGTAAAAGCAAAATACGTTACGAACTCGTTATTCGAGCGCGCGCGGGAGGGAAATTACCTAAGAGGCACAGATAACCCGAATAGATTTCCTATGCATTCTACGCTCTGTGCGTAAAAAAAAAAAAAAAAAAAAAAAGAAAAAAAAACAGCGTCCCGGAAGTCGCGTACTTCCTTTCTGATAGGATAGGATAGCAGAAGACGGATCAAGAAAGGTGGTTATTTGTTTTGAACCATCGTCGGAATATTCATATGAACAACCTAGCCAATTTATTATTGCGCACTAATCTCTGACATTAAGCTTGATAAACTCATCTGAATTTCATTAAATACACGATACATCCGTTGTGATTCATTGCGACACGTAAACAGATAAATAGTAAATATGTTCCCTCTTTCTTTTTTTTTTCTCTCTCTCTATCTTTGTCTCTGTCTTGTTCTGTGTTTCGTCTGCAGCAGGCAGACGTGCAGTTTTGCTTTTCGCGCGATGTAGTATAAAAATATAAACAAAGACGTCGCGTGCTGGCAGAAACATGAAATGTATTTACACGCGTGTACACGCGTGTGCGACACACATGACGGAGTCACGTCCAGAAATAGTGACGTCGCGTGGGTGGCGTGTATGGCCGAATAATAAATAGGAGAAAAAAGGAAGAAGCGAAAGAGAGGGTACCCGTGTGAGGTTTGTGGCATCGCCAAGATGGCTGTGTGTTGCAACACCACCATAGTGTATACGATGCATAGAAATTGAGAAACCACACACTGAAATATTCACGCAAACCCACGTACAAACAACGCTCATTAATAATGTAAAATGGAAATGAGATCTCTCTCTCTCTCTCTCTTAATAAATCAACGTGCTGCTTCCACACAAATCCTCTGTACGTCCTTTTGTAACTGTTAAATTTGTGATACTTTGTTCTCGCATAAATGTGTATATTTAATCTGATGTGTTCTCGAAATTCTACTCGCGAGTAATTAGTAATTAGTTGCAAGTCATAAAATTAGCAAAATTTATTGCTCTCAAAATAAACCAGTGATACGTTTCGATAGCGATTTTGTTGTAGTTACGCACACGTCGCACAAGTTCTAAATAATTCAGCTTCCAGTTGCATATATATACGGTACATGTATACAAGCCTCTGTTCCTTTTTTTGTCTTTTATGAACTCGACATCGATGCTTATCTCTTAATCACATTATGTCACTCGATTGACTCAATCTCGTCTCATCTTTGCGTACCAATATTAACCGTTATCAAACAAATTTCCAAACAAAGAACAGCGATTTTAAGCTCAAATTTGGCATTGCAAATCGTTCGTGATACACATCGCTCGCGCGTAAATATGTATATATAGAGCAGTATCAACAATGATAACTTCGTGCGTGCGAAAAATTAACGATAACACGTGCAGTGACGTGTCGCGTATGCAATTAGAGAGCGACTCTGCGTTTTTTCCGGTTCAAGCAGACTTCCTCGTAAATGTTATTGCCGAGCGCGAAAATATTGCGCTTCTCTCGACGAATAATGATGTGAAATGTTTGTTTTGAAAGCGGTAACGAAAGGTGTGAAGTTCGAGTTGAATTTATTTTATCTTGTTTTTACTGAAAAAACTAAAATATCGCAAGTAGCGCTCGTTATGAAAGCACTGTCTGCGTCCATTTCACATAAATTAGCCGTTTTATCTCGGAATCGAGTTTGCGTCATTGATGTAAAACAAAAAAAACATGTATTGCAATACGACTCGTGCAACGCAATAGTATTATTATTTTTATCGTTTGATACAAGCCAGACGAATAATTTTGCTTATCCACAGTTGTAAAAAAAAAATTTATTACCGTCTATTTTCAACGTTATCGTATAGTGTGCGATAATCCTCGTTGTCTCAGCAAAATTAATTTCTCATTGTCAAATGTTATCGAGGAAAGAAAAAATCGTGCGTTCTGTACGTAAAAAAGAAAGTTGAAAATTGCAAGAATTGAATGTTTTATAAATAATTGGTAGAGTAGAGATGTGCATGTGAAAGCGGCCAGTGAAAAAATGACGCATAAACCACACGGGAGACGAAGGTCAAGTGTAATTTGTTTTTTTAACGTGAAAAAAATCGTTTATATAACAAAGTGTGACTAACTTCGGTGAATGTACATAATAATTCAGTCTCTTCTAAAAGTTTTTTTTCGCAAAACTTTCCCATTTGTTATGTTTAAAAATTTTCAAGGTTTTTCACACAAAAATAGAGTTTTCTAGAAAAAATAGTTTTTTTTATATAAATTGTCGCAACTTCTTCCTAACACGATTTTTTTGCACGAGACGACTACTAATCGCAAATAACCAATTGCAAACAGTAAAGTATGATAAACGCGATGTTTGACGCGTGCACATAAGTGGCATCCGGTGTGCGAAAAAAAACAATACAAATCATTTCCCACCCGATCGCGACTGCCGAATACGCGCCGCTCTCGTGCATATGCAATGCAGGTGTAAACAAACTTTATCGCGCCTTGAACCTACTGCCTCCGAAGAGCAGCCAGATACGCGTGACGACGAGTTACGAGCAGATTAGAGGCGTGAAAAACGAAGATACGTCGCGCAATCGAGCGAAACACGTCGCGGCGCGTTTCGCCGTGAATTGCGACACGCGCGCGAGGGATTTCATCGTTGCGCTGTGGGAGAATCGTCGTCGTTGTCGATAACGTCGTTATCTCGAGTTTGTAAATTTCGTGCGCGCGTGCGAACCAAATAAAATTTTGAAAATAAACATCAGTGCGTTAATACAAATCAAATCGATCGCTAAAACGTCGGCGATAACACGCCTCGCTCGTTGTAAATAGCTTTATCGGAAATTTCGCGCGATATCGGGAATCGTTTCACGAGAGCGTTTCGCAATATCGAGATCAAGGCAAAGAGGAAACGGGTGAATTGTTGGAAGTTGAATAACATAGACGATTGCCGGAAACGGCGATTCATCGCGTATCAAGCGATTATTCAGCGGTAAAAATAAATGTGTGCAAAACTAACCGGTGATCACTGGTTGCTTCCTTGCTGCTGGGGGTAGTACAGGAGTGGTCGGCTCTATCGTTCTCTTCTTCTTGTTCGTGTCGGAGAAATGACTGGATCTCGCGGCGTCGCCGATCTCCGGTACTCTCGGTTCCTGCGGTGGTGTTCTCTCCACCGTTGGTGTGGTACCAGCTTCCATTTGCTCGATAATTCTCGTCGTCGTTATCATCGTCGTTGTAGTCATCAGTGTCGTCGATGTTGTCGCCAACGACGTCGTGGTCGGTGACGTGCTCTCGGCGGCAGTGCTCGAGACGACGACGGCGGCTGCGTCGTCGTCGTCGTCGTCGTCATCGTCGTCGGAAGCACGCAATTTCTGCGGCGTACCGGGTGCGTGTTCTCTCAGATAGGGCATGCCGCGCAAAGCGTAAGGCTCCGGAACGACGTCGTGCTCCGTTACCGGTTCCCATTCGTAGCGCGAATTCGGTCGCGGTATCTCCAGATGGAAATCGAAGCCCCATCGCTCGGCGTCGAGCAACGATTGGGTGTGGAGCTCACGTTCGGCGAGCGCCCGAGCCGCTGCGTGGTCCACCGGGCCAAAGAGATCGCGTCGCACGCGCGCGAGAGCGGCCTTGCTCGGCGACGCTCGTCCGCCACCGCCGAGGTTCCTGCTTATTTCCGTCATCATCGCCGGGTTCAGCACTCGTGCGCTCATATTTCGTCGCGCTCTATCACCGCCGCGCTCCACAACGGCAAACGCGCCGTTCCCCCTTTCTCTGCGTCACACGCGGAAACAAACAGTACACACACACACACGCACACACACACACACACAGTCTTGGAGAATCGCAGATATGTACACGAACACCACCGTCTCTTCCTGTTTCTTTTTTCTTGTTATTGTCTACTGCGTTCTCGTTTATTGTTTTCTCACCGTTTTGCTGTCAAGTTTCTTTCTCACCGCACTGTCGACAAATCGCAACGGAAATAAGAAAGCGTTTCTTTTAGCATTGGCCGTGACGCGGAGATGATGATGATGATGATGACTCTTTCCAGGAATCGCGTCCCCGCTGCCGTCGCAGAACGTTGAAATAATCGCGTACCCGCGAACGGAACGTGGCAACGCTGCAACCTACCGAATTTCGAATAATGGCCGCGCTGCTGAGCGTTGACCAAGGCTGCAATTCACACTCGGATACGCAGACGTGTTCGCCAACTCGAAGCTTGGCACACCTCGACGTTGATTCTCGTCGAACCAGGCCAACGTGAGGCTGATGCACTGCTCGATGATCTCCGTCGGTGAGAGCGGGGATCATAGGGCGATGAGTGCACGGCAAACAGCAGCCGCGCTTGGCAACACGGTTAGGTGCAAGAAGACAACAGAGCTATGGCGAAAACAAACTCTGTGTCGTCACGCGGCACAGAGTCGTTTCGACAAGGTCACTGTGAAGACACCTTCTCCGCCGGAAAAATTGCACACGTTCGATATGTCACCGTTGATATTATTCTCAGTCAAGTCTCGCAACACTACGACAGTTCCTCTCTTTCTCTTTCTCTCGGCGTAACAAGCGGGAATACAGACGATCCGGCAACGTTGCGCGACCGCACTTGCGCGTGAGTATCCGAGAGCGACGAGAGAGCGTGGTAACGACGTGTCCCGCGCGAATTTCGTGGTCCACCGTCGGCAATGGTCTGTGACGCCAGTCGATTTCTCTTCCTTGTTTCTCCTCTCCCGTGACCCGCCTCGCACACGTTCACGTATGGCGTTCACGTAGACGCGTACATCCAAATCCGCGATATGCAGTTCGTTGTTTCGCGGCGAGAAAATTCCACAGAAAAAACCCTATTGCACACGGCACGTAGCAATATGTTGATCCGCCGAGTGGGGGAATAGCCGAGTCGCCTTTGACACCGTGTAAAATAAACACGAAATTGATCGCGTTGTGTCGTTTCCCGCCAAACACGCGACTGTCAAGACACACGCGTGGCCCACCGGGGCTCGGGAGGACGTGCTGGCACGATTGCGCAGTTACGTGTGCCGAACACGAGCGAGATATATATGTTGGATCTACAATCCACGGAGCTGCGCAGAACTCACGTAGCTATCACGAAAAGCGCTCTCTAGCGACTGAAGTGCGCTTCTTCCGCTGCGAGCGATCGAGCCTCGTTCGAGCTCGTGATTCTCCGCCGCGGTTCGGCTGATACTTCGGCTTGGAAATCATCTCCCTTCTCCCCTCTTCGCGCCTTCTCTCCACGAGGCCAATCACGCGGCGAGCGGAGGAACGAAATAACCGCCATTCGCTACGTATAGTCCGCTCGACGTGACTGCTGTGCTACGATCAGACTCGAGGCGTGTGCGGAGATTGTACTGTTATTGGTCCCTACCACACGGGAACGTGGTCAAACAGAATGTTAATTGCAACCTCTGGACGTGTTCCAATGTTCCAGGTTTCCAGGAGTATGAAGTATATATTGAAACTTGTAGTATATATGAAAGAAAATTATGATCGTGGTAGATATATCTCTAACAAAACGTGTTTAATATATTTTACAAGCTATAAAAACGCTCGACAATATATATCTCGCTTGTGATCATTTTTCTTCATAAAGACTACTTAAGCCCGCATTAGATTACGAATTAGAATTGAGATTGTATCGGAAATTTGCTGAACGAAGTGTAATGAAACTGTTAATCAACATTTGTTAATTAATCAAACTCTTAATGATCTCAATTCTTGTCTACACGATACGGGCCTTGTGAGAAAAATTTATTTCTGTCACGAGAGACAATTCTCTTGTTTTCTAAATTATTTTTTTGTTTTTTTTTATAGTTTCTTAATTTCTTTTCGATATTATGCAGAGCTCGTTAATATATCTCTGAAGCTTTTCTCTATCAGTAACGTTTCCTATGTTGTGATATCACACGCGATCGACAACAACGTTTTGACGGACGTGTCAAATTAATTTAATTGTGACCTTAATTCGTCGCTTTAATTGTCCTTCACACGCTTCTGCTTACAGATAGCAGTCGCGAAAGAAACGGCGCGTCTCCCGTTAACCGTGAGAGGGAGGGGTATGAGAAACAAATAGAGGTCCAATCTCTCTCCAAAACACAACGTGCGCAATCTTATCACGTACACATTCGATGGATTTTACTTGTTTTGCGTGCAACGTGTCGCAAGTACGGTGAGCTTTGCATATTGTTCGGATTATCGCTAATGTTTTATACAATGGAATATATAAACTTATCATGCGCAATATTATATTCGCGCTATAATGTACAGAAAAAAACGACATATTGCCTATATTGTTTTCTTTTTAAAATGGCAAATGCGTTGCTTTCGTTACTGACGTATTTATTATGACGATCTGATTTCATAATTTTAATATCTTTATCACACGAGACACAATATGCACATTGTGTCGCGATTATCTTGTTTTAAATCGATTCAAACGACTTTTTGAAATAGTGCGCGCGTTCGAGTTGTAGGAACTAATCTGGTAACAGAAATCTGAAAATTTTAATTCATGAAAATCGCGCGCGAATATTCCCGTCCACAAGTTTCCGACGTAACGTTCTTCTGCTCGATTCTGCGCACGATACCACAGCGCTTCACGATGATCGAACGCGCGTCACAGCGCCGAGTGCGATGACACAAAATCAACGGGACGAATCGAGACTTTTCATTGATAATTGTCAATTTACTCCGTTGTGCTCGTCTCGCACGCGGCACGCGAGGGGGATCTCCTATACGGGAAACATCACCCGCGTGCGCGCGCGCGCGCGTTCGCTCGCTCGTCCGTCGTCGGCGATGCAACTCGCGGCGAGCGAAGCGTAGATAAACGATCCTAGAGTCCAATTGGAGAGCGAGTTTGCCACGCGGGCGTTCGATCGTGTTGATGTGCGTTGGTCGATTCGCAGGACGCCAAGTGTGGCGCGAGTATTTTGAATGCTGGAACATTGGCTGGACGCGTTTATATCAGCTTTCGCGTAAAATTATCAGTAAAAAAAAAAAAAAAAAAACGGACGACTATGTGCGACGACGTTGAATTGTCGCACAAATTATATACTACACTGAAATTCTGCGATTTGTGAAAAAAACCTTACAGTTTACGGCAGGGTTCGAGTTGACAGCAGGTTCGTTCTTTAGAGTACAAGCTTTTTTTCTGGTTAATTAGTTTTATTCGCGATTTGCGAACACCATAACGCGTAACAGGAAACCAAGCGCCGGTGCAGCCACGCTCTGGGAAACAAAAATCCCACGCAGCATCCAGGAAGTGGTGAGGGGTGGCACCGGATGCATTTCAATGTGGGGAGACGAGCGAACGAGTTCGTGTAAAACAATTCTTTCTGCGTTTCGCAGAGAGACCACCGTCTCTCATTCATTGTCCACCGCAGGAGTGCATTTCAGGAAGGTGTCTGGTTGCACAGGTTGAGCTTTGTAACCCGTAATAAAGCCAAAGGTGCCACCTATCTGCTTCCTGTATAATATTCGTTACAAAATACCGACACAGGTTCATTAACAAATTTGTGTTAAGTAATATTGAAAAGAAGCGTCTAAATTTCAAATGCGATGTAAGATGCAACGTATATGATTGAGCGAATAATTTCTTTTTGATTTTTTAAGTTCTGACGGTTTTGCAGTTTCGTATATACTTAGTCTTTTTTTTTTTTTTTTTTTTTTTTTTTTTTTTTTTTTTTTTTTTTTTTTTTGAAATAGAGAGTTTGTACACTTCGTACATTATCGAATGCACCTGCTGACACAGAAGGTACACATTTTGTTTACGCAGCTTTAGTCGCGGTATCATTGCGCGGATTATTACTGACTGATTAAAACAACCAAAAAAAGAAAACAAACATTCTTTCTGAATAGCCGTGCGTCGCGCGCGCTTGACAGACGGGCAGATTTCCAGAGGAAGTTGGTGTTTATTCGCGAGGCGCACGACCGGAAGACGCATGGTCGCATCTGCATCGCGTGTTTACCCCCGCGAGACTCACCTGTTTCATCATTTCGCTATCAAAGCCGGGGGCTTCACTTGAAGCCGAGCGCGTGTTATCTTTTCATGTGGCAACAAAGCTGCCGTGATAAATCACGTTTATCGAGCTCAAGGTGGTGAATCGAGGTTGAGAACGGATACATTGTTTTGCAAACACAAAAAGACGGCCTACATTTTTTCTCCAAGACACACACGGCGTCAAGTATATAAAATAAAGATTTCGTTAAACACAACAAGTTGGTCAATTTGCAAAAAATTATACTTTGAAACTTCGAAGAATAATTTTTAATTTTTCTACTTAAATAAAATCTCAACTCGACTTCACTTTCAATTAACATATTCGAGGAAATATAATACATATACATATATGTATATATATATTCAGTAACAAATATAGAAACAGAAAATTATTTATATACATGTACGTATATTAAACATAATACACAATTGCATTAAGAAATATTAATAAGTATAGGAAACACAAACGTAAGAGTCCTCGAAGAACGACGATTTCTTAAGCATCTCTGACATTATGGCCCGTTCGCATTCTTTATCGGAAAGGAGCCTCAATGCTCGGTCAGAACAATGTGTGGCGTAGTACGTTGTACGGCAATATTCTTTTGTCGCGATTGTGTGCCCACTTCCGTGGGAATTCGCGGAACGGAAGTGCAATTTTTGGCTGGCCAGCTTCCACGACGAATCAGCGCGAAAGAAAACGATCCTTAAAGAAACGCGCGCCAGGTGCAAACGCGCGCGCGCGCGCACGCGGCTCTCTTTCGCGTTCTCTTCTCACGACAAGTAGTTCTCGAATTAATGTCGAAATCGCGATACTCGTGGTATATCTCGGCTTCTATAGAAAAAAACGTTCGATCGACAAAAATTTCTAATCGAGAGATAGCGAAAAGAGATCAATTTTTGTTATCGATAAGACGGAGTTTCACGAGTGGCATCTCTGAGAGATAACATATATAGAAAAATTATAATACTAGTAAAGATTATCGAGTCGACTCTTCCGCGTTGCGGTTTACACATTGTGAAGACGATGCCTTGTGACATAAACGCGTTACGAAATGCTCATCCGTTGCAGAGAGACAGATGTTTCATCTTCGCGCACCATAAAGTAGGTCACACTTAGGTCTCTAATGAGCCGCGGTAAACAAAACATCGTACACACGTCCGTTCTTTGTCAAGAAATGAAAAGAAAGCAGAAGGACAAAAGAGTACAAGTCAAATGTTTATTTTTTTTTTTTGCAAATAAATATTATGTGTATTAAATTATTTGTTTTCGTGTAAATATACATATATAGAATTTTTATATATAAGATTATAAATAGAAAATAATGTGCACTGATACTCTGTATTGTCTGATACAAAGTACATTGCACAATAAATACGAGTATAATCACGTGTATTGCACGTATGTTTTTGTAAATCACATGTAATATTCCACAATATTACATGTGATAAACATAATGTATAAAGAAAGCCACAAATCTCAAGCGTGATCTCTGATTTCGCTTCTTTTCGAATTTCACGAAGTTCCATTTTGATTAAAATTAGAAATTTTACTTTGGTTTTGTCTTTTTAAGTTGCAAACTATCACGTCTGTTTTGACTAGAACTCACATAAGTTGTCAAAATTTGTAGAAAACAATCACAATCATTTACATATAATAACTTTGGTTTTTTCTCAAATAATATTTCTCAAAAAATCGCTCTAAAATTTTATAAAATAACGTACGCATAAAACAATTTTCATCTCACAAAAAAACAACAACACTTTTAGAATCAAAAATCCACGCAGTCTCTTTTTAAGGCAAGGACGAAGTTTTGTCAAAACTGCTAAAAAATTTTGTTACTGTTTACTACAATAGATAATATCACCGCTAACAACGTCACTCGTTCGATTTTTTTTTTCGTCATTACGCGTTTTCATTTCTTCGTCAATTTGTCATTCCGTTTCTATCACATTTCTCAAGTCGTCTTCTTTCGCCTGTCCTTGTGGAATATTCGTCGAGTCCCGTAATACAGAATTAGGAGTTGTATCTGACGTTTCTTCGGCCTCGACTTTCACCCACTCGTAACGGCCAGGCAATGGTATTTCCTTCTCGAAATCGAAATTCCACCTTAACTTGCTCTGTTAACATACAACATTATATTTTTTATTAAAACTTATTTCGAACTGGTTGTAAATAGAATCTGTAATATAATTAATTTATTTACCGAGATACGAAGTGAACAGATATTCTTGATCGCAACGCGACGATAGAAACTTATTAAAAAAAAATAATTATTTGTGTCTCACTTGTTCCGATTGTCGTCGAACCTCTTCCAAGATTTGTTCCTTGCGTTTTTCTTTATCGCAGGGGTCGTCCTTATCATCTTGGAAAAGTTTTCTTCGCACGTTATTACGCTGACAAGAAAATCGTACACCTTCCTCGTCGATATTGTTCTCTTCCATAGTCAGGCGAGCTCTTGTATAAGAGAAAAGTTTAAGTTTTATCGACTTGTCACGTTAATAATTTTATATTTCACAAAAAACAAGGGTTAAATCAATTGTGTAGTGAATTGTGTGCGCATCGTTAACTGATATTCTACTAACAGGCAGAACAAACAAACGCACGTAATATACGTTCGTAAATTGGTAAATTTTCGAAGATAAACACACACACGTACTATATTCATATGTTTGGAAACAAATTTGAATTACGATTTGATTTGCGTCTCACAAACGGTCATATATATGTACAAGAATCGACGTAACATCGAAAGCAGCAAAAATTACTTTATCGCGGCATTTTGTAATAGTGTTGTGCATTTCTCTACTTTGTATATAGATAAATCTTAAAGAAGCTGATTCACGCTGATGAAACGTTATTTAAAATATCATTCGTAGAAACGGAAACGAGCTACCAGGAAGAGATCTCAGCGGAATAACAGTACTCCGTAGTAATCGTTAAACTCCCACTTCCTCCTATCATCTTCTCCGATACGCAAAATGATACTTGACGTTTTGTAAACAAGATGGCTTGGCATTGGCAATCAGGTCTTCGCGCACGAGACAAGACTCCACGCATACCCGAGTGCGGTGAAAGAGAGAGAGAGAGAGAGAGGAGGGAAACCTGTAGCATTGTCGGCTAATATGCCGTTGCACGGATATATTGGAATGCATTACACTTCCTACACACACACACACACAATTGCCGATACATACAAGCTCGTTTGTTCTCTCTCTCTCTCTCTCTTTTCTTTTCTTTTAATATCTATATAATATCTATATAATATCTATATAATATCTATAAAACAATAATTGGTTTTACGCGCTCGAAATTACCGGAGTTCTACTGTACATTAAAAATTCATATATGTATACAATTTATCTTCTCTCTTTTTTTAGAAATGTGCATTCTAATTTACATTCGCGTTGAGAGATAATTTTTTGAGATTCTGCTTGACACGCGCGTTCTTGTTAATAAACGACGGAGGGGGACACGCGTCTCTTATAAGAACAGTTGAGATGAAACGGATTCCGAAAGTTACACCGGAATCGAGAGATAAGAGTGTTTTTTGCGTCCGTTCTTAATTATCACGAAAAAAATCCTGCGCTTTTTTTACACGCGTTCGCGTAACACAAATACGATCTGAATCGGCCCAGCTTTCGACGACAACGGCAAATTAACAAATGAATTCGCGTAATTACTGCGATGCACGCCGACGCAGGTGATACGCAGTCAAGTGCATCGCAACTCCGCCGGTTGTGCCACGTAGATGACCGGCGAAACGACGCAGCATGATGCATCTCCTTCTGGTAGGGGCGGGTTAATGCACTCGACTGTACTTTTCCGCCTCGGTATTTCGGCCGTGCTTGCGCATACACGTGGATCGAGAAGATAAATGGATCATGCTGCGCGCCGTCCACGAATCAAGGTGCGAGATGACCTGACGGATGAATAAAACCAAAAAAAAAAAAAAAGAAAAAAAAGAAAACCCACAAACGAGTGAACATTGTTGAAATCACTCGAATGGCGTCACGCCGGGGTTCGCGATCACCTGATTCGCCGTAATGTATCGTCGCGTCGTATTAACTCGAAAATGGCAATTGTAAATTTTTTTCTGCCTCTCCCCTCTCTCGTAATCGCCATGTACTTTTTTGCGACAATCCAATTATTGCGGAGTTATCGCTGGCATAAATTGCACGCGCCGTTTATTTGGTCGTCTAAAGCTGACAAGAGCGATTTATCTAGAGCACTTTATGCGTTTCCAGCGGATCGTGCCGGCTGTACTTTTGAGATGATATATTGCGCAGCTTGATCAAAACGTTACTTAAGGATTACTCGTTTGTTTGTATCCACGAGATTCGACACATGTATATATTTTGTCTTTTTTAGATCTTCTGCACGTAAAATATAAATTTAATCTTTAAGTAATAATAATTTTATCATGTATTATGTTAAATATAAATAATTTTTTTAGAAGGTCGATATCATACAGTTTACAAAGAAGTGCACATTTGTGCTCACACGTCTATCAAACAGGTAATACGGGTTTTAGCAAGAGGCCTTTCTCTTTCTGACCCACTTACTCGTTCAACTATTCCAAATAAATATATCGGATTATCAGACTCGATTTACGCACATATGGACATTAAATAAGAGTCGCTAATTATTGTGTTAGCAATCCTCAAATTGAGATAAACAATAACGAGAAGCCGAAGCGCGACGTGACGCAAAATATTCTGTGTAGGTGTGATAACGCGGCAATATTTTTGAAAGAACTTTATTGCAGCTCTCGTGCAAATTTTATTTTTTCACATCTTCACCCGTTGCACGCTAATCCCGCCGAGATATCGAGCCCGGAGTAACGTCACAAATACCGATAAAAGATTAGGCAAATAACACACGTCATAACAAAGAACACACATCGGAAGGAAAAGAGAGAAGCGGTTAGGCGTGAATTGAGAGAACAATTACTTTACATCAGCCACTTGTTAAAGTAAATTTGGCCAAATGTATTTGTGATATCCGTTTACTCACTTGTAGTCGGTGTGTCTTTTATTTCAGTTTCTTGCGCATATGCATTCGTATGTGAACGCACCTTTTGTGTTGAATTTGTCGGCTATTTAATTACACGAACGAGCGGCCTCGATCGAGATCACTTTTTTTGTTGTTCATTTTTCTGGTTTTCGCACGTGCGTCTTGTCTTTTCGTTTAACCTCAACTTCGGCCATTGCCGAGTTTGTTCAGCTAGCACGACCGATCGATATTTATGTCGGGGGTGTCAAGCCCCCGACGGGGTTGGATTTTGTGCGCGCGCACATTCTGTGACGAGGGAAAGGTTTCATTGTCGGTGCGCACATTTACACGGTATCGATATATCGAGAAATATCATTATACGTATCGATTGTCAATGGTATAAACTTTGATTTGAATTAATTGGGGAAGTTTTCATTAGGATGAATCCAGATCGCATATTTTCTTTATCTTAAATGCTCGATCAATTTCTTCTCTCTCATTCAGAGTGAAAAAAAAAAAAAAAAAATGCTCAGATTCACTTTTAAACACACGAACGTTCCGAAAGTTAGGGTCCGAGTTAGTTAAATATTCGATTGGTCAGATCCGGTTGTAGAGATCGAATTGATAAAACGCCTTTAATATGCGCACTGTAAAGTGTCAAAATACAAGCGCGTTTTCTTTCTTTGGAAATGCGTGTCAATATTTCATCGAGCAGTATATTTATAGTCCTTTCTTCAGATATAAGAACGTCTCAATAAGACGATCTTAAAAATAAATCCGGCTATGAATACCGTTCATTATTGTCTCTCTCGATGCCTTACTCAGCATCTTTTCAGTTCGTTTTGCGGTTTTCATTTTTGTAAAGCTTGACCTACTGTCACATTTTGCGTAAGTTTTCAATAGTTTAGAGCGCGTTTACGATGTCTGATATAGATACCAAAGTAAACTACGAATACAAGGTTAAATAGAGAAGAATACAGTGTAAGAGAAAGGAAACAGCATAAAGAGAATAGAAAGTTACAGAGTAAGGAAAAAAATAACACAGAGACAGTGTGCTGAAAATATCTTATTGTCTCATTGTCAGTAGAAGTTGAAGATTTTTCGTTAAGCTTAAAAAAACACACATTCTCTTTCTCTCAATTACTAATTGGGAAACATTTTATAGTCAAATTGTAATAGTATGTTCAAAACAGTCGAGGAAATATGTGTACAATTAAAATCAACGTATTCCTGTTATTTTGGAATTTAAATTTAGCGAAGCGAATGAGTTTCGGAGAGAGAGAGAGAGAGAGAGAGAGAGAGAGAGATTTGTATCTCAAAAAATATTTTCTTTACATGTATGTTTAGCGTTAATTTGCGTCTTGACGTAATCCTGACTGGATTTAAACAAGTTACATCTGCAAATTGCTCACCTTGACTGTCAAAATATCCAAAGACATGTAGTAACACCGTTACACACTGATATTTATCTGACGGATCGCGAAAATGCACAGTTATGTCGGTACAACAAACTACGCATTTAGATCATAGGAAGAGATAATTTCTTTCCGGTAGTGACGAGACGGGATGCTCGTTTACGCGGTAAAGGACGAGAAACGACTCGCGCGCTCTGCGGTCGGGAGATTCGATGCAACTAATCCTAAGTAGAACCTGCACTTGCATCTGAGTAGCAGCTGACTAGCCTAGATTCGCGTGCTTCGTAGACACACGGTGCAAGACACGCATGCGCAAAACAACCCGTTAGCCGCACGTTTTATTGCGCGTTCATTCCCATAACAAGCGAATATTTTCTTATCGTTCGAATGAATGAGCGATGACGATGAATAACGAGCGTTTTTCCACGAAAACGTCGCCGAGCGTTCCGCGAACAAAAACACGAACACGCTGGATAAAGAAGAAAGAAAGGGGAGTAATAAAAAAAACGCTATTTATATCTTACATATTTATATATCTTACAGAGATATTTAACCCTTCGTTCGCCTGGGTCTCCCAGACCCACTCAAAAATTGCGCATCGGCGTTTCTAGAAAAAATTAGTTTTTTTTTAAACGCTCATATCTTCGAAACTACTAGAGATTTTTTCAATTTGTTTTTTTTTTATCGACGCAGAATCGTTTAAACTTTTGATAAAAAAAAAGACATTTAAAAAATATTGATTTTTTGCGGAGATATTCGATGTTAAAGTCGCGTGGGCTTCACAGATCTAGTCTGCAGTACTTGCAGGTTGGTTTTTTTTTTAGGTCTGCAGACGAAGAGTTAATAAATATGTGCATGTGTGTATATTTTTATTTTTAGACTAATGTTTTCTTTTTCGCAAAACAGTTCGGATGAAATCTAACGAGCGATACACATCTGATTAGACGTGATATACCATTATGATAACGGTGCGCTATTATCGCGCCGTTGAAGGCCCAAGGTCGCGGTTTTCCGAGAAGCGCCTGACATGACGACGGGATCACGTTTATGATCGACGAGAGTAACGTGATCGTCAGCGTATATCGGCTCATAAAATCCGATAAGTGAGTATCGATTGAACACAAGGCGAGGACTATCTTCGGTCGTTATGTATGTATCTCGGAACACAGTTCGCCGTGATAAGACCGCGTAATTGAAGAAAAATTGCGTTGCCTCGCGTGATAATTAACCTTTCCGCGGTACGATCGAAAACGAGATAAGAAAATTGCCAATTGATGAGATTGTTGTATCGTAATTACAAGTAGTCGCGCATTAACCTGATTCACAGTTTCCAATCGCTCGTTTTGTTCGTCGAAATTGTGGAATTGCAATATGCAATTATAAGTCCGCGCTATATTATTACTCACTGATTACTTTTTTTTTTTTTCACTCGATGATGATGGATATTTAAAACTAGTTTTGTAACAGAAGAACAGAGGAGTTGTGTTCACATGCTAATCGCAAGTCTATTTTCGAAGAAACAAATGTTTATTTCATGCTACTGTGTATTCTTACGAAACGTACCTATTTAGATAGCACGTTATAATAGAAAACACAACGTTTCGGATAAGTACATAAGCGGAATTGTTGTAAAAAAAAAAAACAATAGCAGTTAAAGACGAAAGCGCGCGTCCGAGTGCGCAAAAATATTTTCTATCTCGTTTTCATTTCCTTGGGCTTGGCACTTCCTTACCCGTGTCTTTAACGGCTCACCGAAAGGCAACCACCGTTTCATACCGTTTCGAAGCCAGTGTTCCGCATGGTGACCGCCGAGGAAACACGAACAACTAAATCGTGCGTAAGAGAGAGTTTTTTTTTTCGCCCCGAGCGAGCTCCGCGCACCTAAACGTCCGCCGCGCCGAACGACCGGAACGTTTTTCGCGCCCGGTACTTGTCTCGTTCCCTTGACACTGTCTTTAACCTATCAGCGAGAAGGGAATGTTTTTCTTTGTCTCGTCGCCAATCGAGCGCGCCGCGTGCAACAACGCGCTCGAGAAAGAGCGCGACGCGGGATTATTTCATTTTGCGGCAAAAATTCGCGATTTTTCACCACCGCGCAAAACACATTCGCCGTGAAATTACCGATGATCGACGGTTGTTCCTTGGCCTCGTACCAGGCTCTTCCAGCTTCCCTCGTGGTGGACCCTCGATCACATTCGCACGGTTTTAATTCGTGTTATTGCCGATGTGACTTAGCGCAGCTCATCCTTTCTTTCTCGACGCGTTCGACACACAAACGATCTCACGTATGCAAAATTATCTCTGATCCGATTTTGCGAGAAAATGGTGTAAAAGAGTCTCGAAGAGTTGAAATCAAAATCGTCACGATTGATTAACGATTCGCCGTGTTACCTTCCTGACTTCACGCGCGAGTTTGGCAACCATGTTCGGCCGACCGAGCGATATATATCGAGGTGAACTCACATCTCTACTGCATAATGCATTTATTGTTCCTCTCTTCTGCACGACACTTCCATTTCCATGCGGTGATAACCTTGCGGGCACGCGTCGTTTATTGCGCAAACAAAATGCACACACGACGATTGATAATGCACGTACGACAGATGATAACAGAGCGGAGAATAATAATAATAAAAATGTTTATTATCATCGCTAAGCAATTGTCCTTGAAAAACAGCAAACGTTTCACAAATACAAAATGCGATCTGATGTTTTTTTTTTTTAATAAAATGATGATCTCTCTCGCTTTTGTTACGTAAACTCATTTTACGAGGTCAAAAAATAAAACGGTTGATCCAATGGCTATGGTTCGCGTGGTGTTTCCTACCGTGAAGCAAAATTGATAGATAAGATATATCAGATTTAAGAAAAAAAAAAAAGGGATCGACCAAGAAAAAGAATCATCATTAACATAGACGAGATTCCGACTACTTGTGCGCAGTAGCGCGTGACATGGTTCTTTCGTTCTGCACCTTGACACCTGTGCGAAAGAAAAGATCCCCTCATCGAGTGAATTCGCTCACCCCTGCTCGCGCCAAGGAATAGAGACTGAAAAAGCGCCGAGAGAGGGTTCGACTGTGCCGTGCCTATGCCTAGTAATTATTCCGCTTGAGTTACCGGGCAAACGGGCAGGCTCTTGGCGCCCCGAAGAAATTTCTGTTGGAACGGTCCCCCTGGCAGCGGCAAACGAGCTATTTGCATTCCTACCATCGAGGAAGATGCCGTTTGAGATAGAGCTAATCTAGTGCTCTGAAACTTTGCGTCGCTCCCGAAACGCCGCTTAGCAACTACATATCCGCTCCGGGAGCCAAGTGGGATTTTAATGCGTCATTTTCCCCGGACGCGTGATACAATTCAAAAGTTATTAAAACAAACAGCATCCTTGTTTTTTAGAAAAATAAAGGACACAACGTTAAAAAAAAAAAAAAAAAAAAAAAAAAAACTTTCTCATAGAGAAATCAGACAAACGTGTGTCTTAAATAGACCGTTTTTATATATTACGCGTTATTACAATTGAATTGCAAAATATTCGCGAGAGATAAGTCACGTCGTTTCTTTTGACAGCGATCAGTTTAGCGTCTCGTGCGATTACCATAAGTTCTAACTCAGCGCACGCCTTATCAATATTAATGTTCGAACAGCCAGTGCGTGCTTAGCACCGATGCGTTTAAGCACCGTTACTAACTGAAAAGGTTGACACATCGCACATCAAGCGAGGTATATTTCTCCGATTTTTACCGTTTTCCGGGTACGATATATAGAGAGAGTACACTGATTCCGCGATAAAAAAANGGGAAAAAAAAAAAAAAAACGATTTTTTAAAAGTTTCACACTAGTTGTGCCCCTTAAATCCACACATTCCTTTGTTAAAAGTCATCCTGCTATAGTTGTATTTATCTAAACAGTTGTCTCGCGTTTACCATTTTTAAATTTAAAAAAAAAAAAAAAAAAAAAAAAAAAAAAATTACATCTTATCAGAGGAAGTATTATCTTTATATGCGCTCTCTCGCGGCGATAAAGAACTTTGTTTCTGTCTACGCGCTCCCCGCATGCGAAGTACAACGCGCGCACAATATTAAAGCCGCTTGCTAATAACGTTATCAAAAACTATTTTACCTTGCGCGCGTTCTTGACTCCGTTACTTATCGCATGTCGTAAAAATTGCATGCTCACAAAGCGCTCGAATGTCGACGTGGTATAATTAACCTATCGTTAATGTGTTACAGATTTGCTCGATAGCGCGTTGTCGCGCATTCGCGCTTCGCATTCTATCGCGAGGCGACGCGATATCGAATCGCTCGCTTTCTTCCGCTCGAATAAAGCGTCGAATTTTTATCTCCTCAAAATGTAAACATTGCTTCGATATATCTCCACGATATAAGGTTCGTTGAACCATTCTTCTTTCGAATTTTCGCGGAACTTGTTTCGCGTCGGGCGTTTCCGATACGAACATCCCCCGATAATTTCGTCGCAAATTTGCATCCCGTCCGAAATCACGTGTCTCGTTCTTTTTTCGGAAGAAGGGTGTGTCCGCCTTGTCCGGGTAACGAACAACGAACTCCGCGAGCGGTTCCTACTTATATGAATGGAATGCATATTCATTCACGTTTCTTCGCGAGCATAGAGCGCGATGTGGTGCACGTGTGTGTTGTGCCTTCCACAGATCTCGACATATGCTAAAATCTCTTTCGCGCCAACTGTCGCTTCCTGCATGAATCCACGAACCTTGAAATGTATTCTTCGCGAAAAGAAATCACCCCGGTCACGCTCCGCTCGACGAGGAAGACAGGAGGCTCGCACGAACAGGACAGATTGCCACAGGGTGTAGGAAGCGGGTCTTTGATTTCTTTCTGGAAAATCGCGGTCGATTATGATTATACCGTATCAGGTAGAGCGCTAACAACCTGTAATTTCTTTTGCATATCTTCTGAAAGATTTTGCTGGAATATATTAAATGTTCTTCTAAGAAGCGTGCAAGAAAATGAAATAGCCGACAACGAGAATATGAGCAAATGGTAGCAACTGTTTTTTTTTNTTTTTTTTTTTTTTTTTTTTTTTTTTATCAAGAAATCTGGTGCAAAATGCCGCGGAGACACGAGTCGGGGCCCCGAAGAAAGTCCTCGAGGAGTCATATGGTCCGAAGGGTGCATGCGTTTAACGATCACCCCATTAATGCGCTCAGATTCAAAGGTTAGCGCTTTACGCGTGTCACCCCTCGGTTATTTCCTCCTGTGTAGTTGTGGTTTAAATCGGTATAAAAAAAGAACCCTCCAATATCCAGCGGGAATATTTCCTGTCGGATGTCTGTTTTCATCCGGCAGACACGTTTCCAAGGCGGGAAGCTACAACGCAAGAGAAAAGTCACTGTGCGCGACCTCACGTGCGGCCAATCTGTCTCTCTCGCGGCAAGCTGCAGTCATCATTTATAGACATGCGAAAGGAAGTCGCGGGACAGATAAAAAAGAAACCACGGAATGCTCGGAAAAAAATACATAAATCACTTCTGTGTAGTGGATATTAAAATACACAAGTTTTATTTTTTTTTTCCGTACGCAATAAAAAAAACGCGAAGAGGGAATTAAAGAACACGGAGCAAAGCAACAAGTAGACTTGATGTCGCGTTGAAAACTAATCTCCGTGCTGATGATCTTTTGCTTAAACAAAGTACCATTTTATGTATCTCGCACATGTTGGCGTAATTATTTTGATAATTCACGCTCATAGGATTCAAATGCCTCCGTGAGGGAAAATCGCGGCGCAATTTTAAAACGACGTATCGTAAACAAGAAATAATGAAGAGTTCTTTGCTCTGAGGCATCTGCGTTTCCCGTGCGAGAATGTAAGTAAGAAATTACCGTAGGGTCGCGGAGGTTTCCTTGACTCTCCTCTCGTTTCGATGTCTACGATCGTTATCGGTTAATTACCTCGAGGAATATACACGCGCACATATACACACACACCCTGTGTAATAATTAACGCCGCAGCGTTGCAACATGTATTACGATTATGGTCTGCATTCTATCGGACAACATTCTAGCATGGTAATTTTTATATTGCGAAACGTTCTTTCTTTTAATTCCTCTACGTGCGTTATCGGAAGACGTTCGAGTTACTTTTTTTTTTATAATTTCTCTTCTCTTTTATTTTTTCTTTTTTCCATATCACACTTTTCAAGCTATAAAATCGTTTTATAAAATTTGATGGCTTTTTGTGGTTCGGTTCTCGGAAGAACATGTTTTATATCAATTTTAGACGTTTCGCACCAGTTAGATGAAATTTATGACGACTCGCACGAGGTCGTCTGACCGTGTTTTTTTTTCTCTCTTTCTCTTTTTCTCTCTCTTGTATATTTTTTTATCACGTCGCGGCGCTATCAATTCTCTTCTCGAAAACGGGAACAATCACCCACAGATTCTTTCCGTTCGCTCCCTTGAATCGTCTTTGCAACTTAAACAAAAATAGATTTTACGTAGGTTGCAAATAACCACACGCCGCGGTCGCGAAACTCGCCGTCTAGTATTTACTCGCGTGTTCGCGCAACGCTCGGTCGTTTGCGGCAGGTCAGTGACGCGTGCTCATCCCACGCTTTAGAGATCATCAGACGACAATTCTTTTGTTTGCAACAAACCTGGGAGGAGACTGAATGCAAACCGAGTCTTTTCATTCCTCGGTTTTCCTTTTAAGTATCGCGTGAATGTTTATCGTATGCATGAGCACGTTCTCAACTTGTTTTTTTTTTTTTTTTATTCGCGAAAATATAAAACAACGCAGAGAGGAAGAGCAGGTATTTCTTTGTTTGATCTTTGTTTTTTCACATTCATTTGTTTACGCACAAATGTATTTGTGCTATACTTATTTAATTATAACGACAATAAAATTGAGGGACAAAAAAAATTTTACTGAGAGAGCGTTGAGAGCGTCGCGTGCATCTGATGAATTTTACAGACGCGCGAGGCACGAGCGCAGCACTTAGCACTTTCGGCACATCCTCATTCAGATTCCCCAAATATTTGTTCTCGCACCGTCTGGAAACTCGAAAGATCCGCGCAGACGTCGTCGGATGTAAATGGTATCCTTTTACGTTTATATATATACCATCATGTGTAACGGGTCGATTCGCATCTCACAAAATCGTTGAAACAAACACATCCAACAGAGAGTTTTAGATACAAATAAGAACAATACGGTGCGTTTTCTAAAGGAAAAGAAAAGTAAGTTTTATACTGTACGTTTTTCTTGAATTTATTTATCCATTTGTGTGTGTGTGTGTGTGTGTGTGTGTGTACATACAGTCATGAAATATTGCCAAGGTGGAAGGATAATTATCATTTCTTCCGTTTCTATCCGGGAATATTCGCAAAAAACGGTTGTGAGCGCGCTATACTAACGAGTGTAACGTTTAAATGCTTGTAATTACTTGGATATATACACGTAATTCAGGGGATTTATATCCCATTGGGTAT